CTGGTACCGTATATAGTAGCGTCCCCCACGGGACTTAAAAATTTGTCCAGTGGCCCCCAAGTAAATTGACTTTGAGACCCCTGCTTTACTGGCTCCAATGCAAAAAAATTAAATTAAAATACACATTTTTCTTCTATGAAGAAGTATTTTTTTTTCTAAAAAGGTGGACTTTGCCTTTAAATGAGGTTCGTTATCAGTATTTTAGAAAACCATAAGCTCTTTTTGATCTTTATGTCTAAGTGGTTTTGTGATATGAAAATTAATTTACTGGAAGCCAGTAAGAGCTAATGTGTTTCAGGAGTTAGGAACTTTTTTTTTAGGGCTGTAGTTGTTCTGCAGGCTGATGAAAATGGGCTAAACGTTGGCTTCCTATGCACAGTTCTCTAGGCTACAACTGCTGGCCGAGAGTCAAAATATGTTTGGTACTTAAAGCTTACTTATTAGTGATTCTTAGAATTGTATTTCACTAGTAACTCGACACTGAATAATGCTTGTTGCTGCAGTCTGAAAATGTAATAGGTCAGTTAAAGGAAAGGTCTACATACAGCTATTTGATGAAAGGAGATTCTTTGCCTGTAATAATTATGTGACAACCATAACTACTAATGGGTTAGCCCCCCCGAGCTGCCCTCAGAGGCTTAATATGGCCTTAATACTAATGCATGCAATCCTTACCAGTATTCCAGAAAAAAAGGCAGTTTCTCCAATGACAAACATTTATCCCCAGGGAGAACATACATGCCAAAGTGTAATTAGAGAAGCCTGTCAGAAATATGGGAGATGCAGGGCCGTCGCTATAATGAGGCAGTCTGAGGCTGTTGCCTCAGGTGGCATCTCTTAAGGAGACATGGGGGGGGCAAAGCAGAGCCTGCTGCCCCCGTAGCAGTGAGAGCATCCCAGGTGACTAAGGGCAGGGAGATGCACACTAGTCAATGTCCTGCCCAGCTCCTGGCAACTGTTGAGCTGGTTGGGATGCTGGCCAGAACTTAGCAGTGCACCACCAGGACACCGGCCACAGCACCGTTAGCGTGCACTACCAGCACCCCATCAACCCCCCATTCCCAACACTGCTCCCCCCAGGTGGCAATTATGCTAGGGACACCCCTGTGGAGATGTCAGGGTTTTGTTTTTTAAAAACCTTCAGTTTAAAATGAGCGAATACATTCCAGGTGCATCAACACGAACGGAAAGCAAATTGTTACAGGTTTTTTTTTTAGAAAGCAGCCACAGAGTGAGGCTGTCTCCTGCCAGCATGCTTCAGAAAAAGACCTTTGCTCTGTGTGTGGAAACAGGGGTCTCTGCAGAAATCTGACACACCCTTTGCCGAGTCAGACCTAGAGTTCTCCAATCAGCAGACATCATAAGCTTTGCTGTCAAAACACCTGAACATGCCTACATCCAATCAGATTGTTCAGGTGTTTTGAGAGCCAGCGGGGCTGACTAGCATGATACTGAAGCTTGGCTTAGTGGGAGATCCCTCCATCCACACAGTTTAGCGTAGATGGAGGAATCTGTTGCACTTTTTCCATCTGACTATAGAAAATCTGCAGATAATTGTAAGGTATATGGCCAGCTTAACTCATCTGGTGTGAACGTGCTCTAAAGTTGCAAGCTCCAAGGCTGTGATCATCAACCGTGATGTACTATCTTGTATGGACTGGTCTAAAACAAGTATGCAGCCAGTGAAGTCAGGGCTTACACTCCTTAATATTTGTTGCCAATCAATTACTCGCCAAGCCATGAAGCAAGGATATGGGGCATAGCTCTGAAGCATGCACCTTTAAAGAAGAACTCCATACAAAAGTGTTTTTAACCCTTGCAGTAGGGCTACCCCTGCAAGTTTAGGTGCTAAAAAAAAATACCTCACCCGAACTGCTGAGCCGGCTACCTGCTCCTCTGCCCGCTTCAGTTACTGAAGCTCTCTCCTCCTGTGCTGCAGCATGGAAATGTTTCTCAGCATCCTCATGTCTATACACCGTGTATAGAATGTGATGATTTACAGGACCTTAGACCGCTGCATCGAAGGGGGGGAGAGGCTTCAGGGACCACTCTAAGAGCAAGCCGATTAAAGTATATCTGTAAAAAAAAAGTCAAAGCAACTGGACTTGCTGTATTTTTCTTGAAGATGTTTCACTGGACATCTGACCAGCTTTCTCGATTCAGAATTAAGAAAGCTGGTCGGATGTCCAGTGAAACGTCTTTAAAGGAGAACTATGAGGTGAGTGCTTTTCACTCACCTCATAGTTCTAGCCGACCTGTGACAATGAGACTGTCACAGGTCGGCTCAGTAGATCGGGAGGTGAGCGAACACATAGCGGCGTTCGCTCACCTCTCGATCCTGTCACGGCTATCTGCTATCCGTGACAGGGGAGGGGCTGGATTCCCCCCTCCGATCCGCCAGCGCTGACTGGCGGAACGGACGGGGGAGGGGGCGGGTACAGCTGGCTATGCCTCTAGATAGGCAGAGCCAGCTGTCAATCACGCAGCTGGGCGCATCTCGACATCGATGTCGGGATCCGCTCCGGCGTCTCAGTATACCGCGAGCTGTAGCTGTATACTGAGCTTGGGGTAACGGGAGGACGCTAGTTTGTGTCCTCCCGTTACCCTAAGCAGAACTATGGGGAAAAGCCCTGACCCCATAGTTCTCCTTTAAGAAAAATACAGCGAGTCCAGTTGCTTTGACTTTTTTTTCACAGATATACCATGACCTGGATGAATGAGAACTTCCACAGATAAGCCGATTAGAGGATCGGGTGAGCATAACTTATTTTTTTTTTAACCTGGTTACAAACAAGCAGTTAACCCTTGCAGTGCAGGGGTAGCCCCACTGAAACGGTTAGGAAAAATTCTTCCTGGAGTTCTGCTTTAAAAACAGGTTACCAATATTCGCTCACACAATGTTTACGCCAACAGGATCCCTGTAAGCTCAAGAATAAGTCGAAGAATATTTTATTTGCCGATATGAACCCTGTTTATTTATTTCTCATAAATGGCAGAACGGAACAGCAGCATCATTTCATCATTACAACTTTTTTTTTTTTTTTTTACATTTAAGGGGTTCAATTTATATACAACATCAGTATGAGAAATAATAAGTAGCTTAAAAAAATAAGATTTTCCAAATAAAAAGGTTTTATACACAAATAAAATGCACCAATGGGTACGAATGTCACAAACTGGCAACTTGTGTGCCTCTCCAATAACATATCTAATGACTGACTGACACTAATATATAAATTAGACTTATTATATTAGAGGGAAGCAACACAAAAGTGCAAACCACTGTACTCGTTGCAACCAAACCAGTTTACTGTAATCTGATCATTACAGGACATTTATTTGATTGGTTTGAGTGACAGCATTTTACACTTAAATCTGACTTGTGTGGTCCTCTTCCTGCACAGATCTTGTTCTTACTTCAGATCAATTAATAAAAAAAGTGCATCTAAACCCAAAAACAGAAGTTTAATACAATACAGCTTACCAGTCCTTACATGTAAAGGATCCATACATTTTCTTTTATTTTCACCTGGTGATCCTGCCAGTAATACATTTCCTGTCTAAGAGTGGCTACACTCACTCCTATGGAGTATAATACGCCTTCTCTGATTTACACCCTTCCCCACGTAACATTCTAATGACATGTTTAAATAAAACCTGTTTTCATTGCATACTTTATTTTAGACCCAGCAATGTCATCACTGGGCCTCTGTAGTTCTCGATGCAATGCAGGCTAATCATTGCTGGTGGGAGGGGCTGTACTTAGCTTCTTGGCAATCTGATGTTTTCGAGAAGCTATGTACAGCCCCTCCCACCAGCAATGATCAGCCTGCATTGCATCGAGAACTACCCACATGTGATCCCGAGCCTCCCGAAAATCCAATCAATGAAAAAGGTGGGCCAGGGACAGCAAGGATGGGGAAGAAAGAACTAGATGATACACAATGTCATCCAGCCAGGAAATGAGACAGTCACTATCTGACATGCTGCGACTTCTAATGCAGAAAAGCTGATGGTTTGCAGTGAAAAGCTGATAGTTGTGAAATGCTGATAGTTTGCAGTGAAATCCGAGTAAGCAATTTCTGTACAGGAGAGGTGCCGGCACAACCAGAAGGTAAGGGTGGAGTTCAGCTTTAAGAACACAGGTCCTTTAAAGGTGTGACATATGTACATCAATATAACACAACTAGTAAACATGTCAATGCTAAACACATATATTACAGATGCAACTTTACATCTGTACACATTATTGGTTCATGTAATATCTGCCAAATGTTAAGTGGTGGGCCAATTTTAAGTACATGGGGACTAATGCACTGTATTTTGGATGTGCACAGCTACGGAGAAAAGATGTTGCCAGTTTCTGACTTATAAATGGACTGTAATAAAACAAAGTAAAGACGTAATTCTGCTAACAAAGGAGCAAAATTTAAAGTGCAGGTGCATAACTACAGTAAACACTAGCTCAGGGTAGGATTGGGCTTTATCTAATAAAGTGGCATTGCACTCCCACTGACTTAATATACAGCAGCATAGTCTTCCAGTACACATTAGGACTTATTTACATCAAATTACAGAATATCATCCTAGAACATAGAAGACAACCAGGCTTATCCAATATGGAAGTGCAAAAAGCAAATGTAGTACACCAACCCATCACAGCCAACGAGAAATCATTTTTATGGGACTTTAGAAAACAAAGTTCTAATTAGTTATTTCAGGTTATTGCCCTTTGCACTTTGTCATCTCTCTTTGCACTTCCTTACTCAATGAACCTGATGTTCTTCTTTGACAAGACGTTCTTTATAGCTAGAGGACAAATAATACACTTTATATTGTACCATTACAGATTAGTATATACTTATAGGTTATTCAAAATACCTCTTTTAAAATAGCCGCACCCATGAACGGCTCACCCCAGGCCTTTATAAATGTTGGTTTAAATCTGTATTATGCTAATAAGTCATATATGGAAGGGTAGGCGAGCTGTGCATTTTTTACCAAAAAGATTAAAAGAGTATAACTTTGTTTTCATTAAGTCAAAAAAGTCCTTTTATGGTCAACTCTATCCAGAAATAGTTGAAATGTCATAGTCACTTGTGGACGTTTTCCCCATCATTCGGACATTTTTAGCATTGGTGATCCTTGCCATCATGGACACTGGCTTGTCAAAGTATCTCACCAATGCAGGCTCTGTCAAAAGAGAGGCAAGGAACTGCTCAAAGGTTATGGCCCAGTCTTGGTCTAGACTTGTGCTTGAAGGCAAAGAAGCTTGGTGCTGACTGCGCACAAGAATGGTGTCATCACCAATGTCTTCACACTGCAGTTTGTCATCTTCATGGGATCCAGCACTCAGTACAGAGTAAGAGGACATGGAGCTATCATCTTTAGTGTCATCATCTGATATCAGCATAGAGGAACAAGCCCCATTGTCTCTTGGGGAAGAGTCTTCTAGCTTAACTTCCTCCATCTGGTCTTCTGCATTGTCACTAGATACCGGGCTGTTGGAGAAACCTCCCCCCTGAACATATTGGCATATCTGCACGGGCTTTTTTTCACTTTTGCCTGGAGTCTCTTTGATGCTTTGATTAGTCGTTTCCTCTGGAACCTGGACAAAGAAAAGCTTGCCCACCTCGCCAATCTCAAGCAGTAAGCTAGTGACTGCAGCTGTGGCATGATACAATTCTTGCTCACAAGGGTCTTCACTGAACATATTGTACATCGTTTTACACAGTTCAATAAACTGGCCCTACAAGAAAATAAGACTTCTTAAAAAGCATACAATATGAAAATAGAAAAGAATGATTAAATAGGAACTACAGACGGCATAAAAAAAGTTATGGATATTTTAATATAAAAAAAGTGGTTCAACCTTTTCCATAACATTGTGTGGACCTATCACAGTAAATAAAAGCTTCTGTTGATCTTAATCTTGCTTCTGTGAATTTCAGACAACATATTAGTAATTTCCCAGAGTGCAACCCATCCAGCAGTAAATGTTCCTCCATCAATAACTAGTATCTTTTCCTTAGCTGATAGGAGCTATTCTGATACTTTGAACTTTTAATGAGCATGTACTGCTGCAGTGTATCAAAACAAAACATTAAGGGCATACCACCTGACATTATCGATGTTTACAGATTTATTTTACTCTAATTAGAGTTCTACTTTAACCCTGAGGCCTGGTTCACACCTGGGCGTTTTGTAGCGCGTTCGAACGCTATGCAAAACGCTCAAACACCGAAATCCCATTATTTCCTATGGGTATGGTTCACACCTGGGCGTATTACAGGCCGTATGAACGCGCTACAAAACGTCGTACGCCCAAAGGAGTACAGGAGCTTCTTTGGGGCGTTTTTGTTGCGTGTTTCCATTGGGATACAGCCAAGTAGCCCTCGGAAACGCGCTTTTGTCGTGCCTTTTTTTTACCTCGAATTGCGTCACGAAACGCACGACAAACGCGCATATATTCAATACGCCTAGGTGTGAACCAGGCCTAATTCAAAGCCAAAATGTGCCATGGCTAGATATATCCCACATCCCAAACAAAGTATACCCATCATGAAAAAAATATGAGGCCTGCAATTGTTGGCTTCCACCTGAACATGCTAGGTCCAATTTAGTAACCATCCTAAGGCCAACCATCAGAAATATTACACGCATTAGGTAAAGTGCAGTGGCTTGTCCACCTCCCCACAGCTGTCAATGGTGGATTGTAGCATGAGAGTATTCTAGAGGTAGTGAATACCAGTTGCATAGAAGAGAGCAGAACAAGGACAACCATTAAAGGAGAACTATGAGGTGAGTGCTTTTCACTCACCTCATAGTTCTAGCCGACCTGTGACAATGAGACGGTCACAGGTCGGCTCAGTAGATCGGGAGGTGAGCGAACACATACCGGGTTCGCTCACCTCTCGATCCTGTCACGGCTCTCTGCCGTGACAGGGGGAGGGGCTGGATTCCCCCCTCTCCGCTTCGATCTGCCAGCGCTGACTGGCGGAACGGACGGGGGAGGGGGCGGGTACAGCTGGCTCTGCCTCTAGATAGGCAGAGCCAGCTGTCACTCACGCAGCTGGGCGGATCCCGTCATCTAAGTCGGGATCCGCTCCGGCGTCTCAGTATACCGCGAGCTGTAGCTCGCGGTATACTGAGCTTAGGCTAACGGGAGGACGCTAGTTTGTGTCCTCCCGTTACCCTAAGGAGAACTATGGGGAAAAACACTGACCCCATAGTTCTCCTTTAACAAGGCAACAACTGTAGTGTTGGTTCCCTGCTTGGCTTGTGTCTCATACGGGCCCAGGAACAAAAAGGCTAGCTAATGTCCTCTTATTCTCTAGACTATAAAATGTGTTCTTTCAGAGTAACAAATCAGTACATTACCTGGTTTAATTTAGGCAACTCCTTTGCAACTTTTTGCCTTGATCTGTTCTCTTGTGCCCATAAACGAAGATAATTCCGATTTTCCTGGCTTGTCTTCTTAACTATTAAAACAAATTCAAAACAAGAAAAATATATGTAAAACTTTACTACCTATCAGTGTAGCAGTATCACAGACATAGTAATGGCTTAGTGTTACCTTTGGTGGTTTTAAGACTGACAGCCACAAATCCTTCTTCCATCTTTTTCTTGTTTTTTGAATCCAGCGCAGAGACTTTATGACAAGAGATGGAAAAAAAGAATATTTGTTAGGCAGTCTTGAGGATGTTAAAGGAAACGTATACGGAGAGAAATGTGTGGCCTGCTATTTCTGATCTCCTGAAAATTCAAAATTGTCTGACTGTCTTCACATTTGCTCTGACAAATCTCCATTTTTTTTCTGCCATATACATACAGTGGGGTCTGTACAGACTCTGAGCTTTCAGGTTCCACCTGGTCTTGTATCAAAGGTGCATTCTGTATGTGTTGGAGTAATATGGGCAATGTTTTCTTGGCATTCATTAAACCCCTTGATGATTACTGAATATTCCTGATTGCTGGTGCTGACGACATGCACCCCTTTTTGAGAAGTAGATATGTGCATCTAATAAAATGGCCACTCACAATATAGCATCATTTATTATTTAGTGTCTTTCTATGTCTCTAAGCAGCACATTCTTGCCTTACCTATAGCCAAACATACAATACAAAGTTGTTCATTTTCATTCAGTACATAGACCACTAGCTAGCCCTATTTGGCATTCTGATGAAAATGTAATCAGTCTATAAATGGATTGGTAATGGATAGTATTTGTTATAACAGGTGCTCCCCCTCCTGGGAATATTTATCATTACATGGTCATTTTGTTTGTCTTGTTCAGTTCTCATGCTTAGTTCGTACCTTTCCATACAAGTTTTTGTGTGTTATCAACAGGCGCTGACCCACGATTGTAACATGCATTTCCATAGTCATCAATGGGCTGGTCACTGGGACAGGAAATAGGGGGAAATCTCTCCAATAGGGATATAGACAGCAATCACAGTTATTTTGTCCAGAAGAATTGGAAATTATATAGCAACAGTGAGAGTTTTTTTGATTATTGTCCCCAGTGGGGAGATTTCCCCCTCCAGATTACATATTTATGATGCTATTAATACACAGGGCAGTTACCCGTCTAAAATAGGGTCTATTTCTACGTCCGCAAAATAAAATGACTTTATTGTTGCCATGAAATTCACCATTTTTAAAGCGTGACATGGAAAGCTGGGATGTCCCACATTACATACAAACCTAACCGATCACTGTGATCAAAAATATATAACATGTAATCAATGTAAAGAAATGTGTTATAAACTGGCAGCTTGCACTCATATGAAGGTTCTGTACATGACAACTAGTACACATTTACACACATATTATCTTACCTTGGCTACTTTCCGGTGTGATATCTTCAAAAAAATATTGAGTGGCCTCAAAAGCAGAGTCTGGCTCTTCCTGGTCCGATGTCAGGTCTGAAAATGACATACAACCAGTCTCAATGGGGTTCCCATTATGAGTCATGCTAGCAAAGTTAGAATCTTCACAGATACACTGGGGTTACATTTCTTCAGTCACTAATAACATCAAACTTGATACTGAATCTGATCAGTGGCTGTAGGCAAATCATTTCAGCTCTTATGTATCAATGTGCTCTTGCTATCCAGCACACATTGCAGTGCTGCTACAGTCAAAACATTCACTCAATCTAGAATGAGTGCAATCCATTGCAGCCAAAATACAAGAGTACGCTCCACCAAAAGAGTATTTTCTCAAGACTGGTTTGTATAAATACCTCTCTCTGTGCAACATCAGTCACATTCAAACTTTCGAGGTAGGTCTGAATCTGATTGTTGGCTGTAAGAAATTGCTTTGTACGAATCATTTTATTCATTAGGCTTTCTGTATATATGAGTGACAATAAGAAGCTTGCATTGGGTGTGTTTGTAAAATGACTCTCTTACATCTAAAGAAGATGATTCCAAATCAGCAGATTAATAAAAAAAAAAGGGACTGCTGCAGTATAAAAATGCCTGGTTGAAAAACAAAGTACTAATGCTATGCTGCCTGTATACGTCTCAATGGTTACATTTCGGTTATGACTGGATTTTACCTTTCAGATTTGCAAGTTAAAGTGACACTAAACTCAGGAATTAAATCTTAAAAATGAATTCAATAACTTAAGTATTAATAAAAATGCAGCTTATTTGTGTATCACTCGGCTGTAGATCCTTAAATCATCTCTGCATTGGTGCTGACACTGTCCTTCCTTCTGGAGGGTGACTACTTTTGTTCCCCATGGTCCCTGTGTAATGGAACCACCGCTCCAAGCTCACTCCTGTGATGGACTACAAGCTCATGTTTAGTTTACCAATTTGTATTGAGGTTTGTAGTCCATCACGGGAGTGAGCTTAGACCGGTGACTACTGTACAACACACAGGGAGGGACCATGGGGAACAAAAGTAGCCACCCTCCAGAAGGAAGGACAGTGGCAGCACCAATGCAGAGATGATTTGAGGATCTATAGATGAGTGATACACAAATAAGATGTTGTTAATAGTTAAGGTAATGTATTGCTTTTTTTAAAGATTTAACTCCCGAGTGTCAGTTACCGTATATACTCGAGTATAAGCCGAGATTTTCAGCCCATTTTTTTGGGTGAAAAGTGCCCCCCCTCGGCTTATACTCGAGTCAGCGCCAGCGCGTCATCTTACTTACCAGGCAGGGGAGCAGGGATGAGTTAGCGGCGCGCTGATCAGGCGAGAGAAGCTCCAGGTGGGGTTGTAATTTAGCGGGCAGGCACCTCTGAGCCAGCTAAATTAGGACCCCACCTGGAGCTCCTCCCACTGGACCAGCGCGCCGCTGACTCGTCCCTGCTCTCTCCGTGATGTGATGATCGATCACCGGCACACGGACACAGTGAGTGAGGGGAGGGAGGGCGGGGGTAGAGAGAGAGATTCATTAAGCAATTATATATGTATTGTCTGCACTGTATTAGCAGTATATACTACATATAGAGTATATACTGCTAATACAGTGCAGACAATACATTTACAATTATACTAACATGAATGTATTAAATGATCTGTATGTAGCCCTGTACTATGGATCATTTAACCCATTCATGTTAGCAGAGGATCATTGTAAATGTATTGTTGCAGGCACTCTATATGTACATGTACTATATACTACATATAGAGTGCACTGAACAATAGATTTACAATTATCCTCTGCTAATATGAATGGGTTAAATGATCCGTAGTACATGATATGTAGCCCTGTACCCCCTTTTCCACTTACAGAGCTAGGTTATTTTTCTTTTAAATAAATATTAATGTAATTTTATTGGTATCTATCTACCATTAGCTGCCTCATTTCCCACCCTCGGCTTATATTCGGGTCAATACTTTTTCCCATTTTTTTTTTGTAAAATTAGGTACCTCGGCTTATATTCGGGACGGCTTATACTCGAGTATATACGGTACTTGAAAGTTAAAATCATATTTTGGTATAAATTAAAATAAATTACAGTCAGGAAAAGCAAATAACACCAGCAGAATGGTCACGATTTTCTGTGCTGTACTCACCAGGCAGTATGTGCATTCTATATAACAGCTTCAGTTTTTCAGTGAGATCCCCATGACAGGCGGCACCTGTACATTAAATGAAATGTTAACATTATCCTGACAGACAGATTATTTGAATTTTTTCAGGTATAAATTGCCTCTACTGACCCCAATCACTTCCCCCTTGGTGCAGGCTTGTAGTCATAGCACTGTGTGGATGGAATTGAGGTACTGCTTAACTACAATGCACTGTTGTCAGAGGCTACATTTGTGTAGCCTCTGACAACAGTGCATTGTAGTTAAGCAGATGAGCAAAAAGGAACTCATCTCTGTTGTAGTGTGCTGCATCTGAAAAATTATGCATGTCCATTCTTAGGTCTATTGTGGTTCAAATGAATGGGATTACTTAATGCAACACATGTTAACGTGCATGGTAATGCAGTGTAATGGATATGGATTGAATAGAAATTAATGAAATAGCATGGTAAAAAGCACAAAAAAATGTGCAACTCCTCATTAAAAAATACTTTTAGAAACGCGCTTCTAAGCAGAAGTATAAACTTGCCCTTTAAGCCGGACACTAGTATTTTTATTATTTAGCAATTGGAGGCTCCATATTTCTCTGACTACTGGTTTCTTATAATGCCAATTGCACAGAGATCCCACCAGGGGTCACTGTTGTCACAGACCAAATCTAGCTCAACCTATTAAAGGAGAACTATGGGGCAGTGCTTTTCCCCATAGTTCTCCTAAGGGTCACGGGAGGACATTACTGGAGCCCGTAGGTCAGATTTCCATTCCTTGAGCTTGTAAGGTAAATTACCATTACTGGTGCCTGATCGCCATTACTGGAACCTGTAGGCCAAATTTCCATTACTGGAGACTGTAGTCCATATTTCTATCACTGGAGCCCATAGGCACAAAAGATTTAGACTCTCGAGGCAGTACCTCTGTTCCAAAAAACATTTTCTGGTATTACAATGTGCAAATAAGCGTATATGAGAAGACTGTACATCGCCTAATGTTGGGGAAAACATGTATTGTTAAGAGCTATAAAAATTAAAAGCTGCCGTTTTCTCCCTACCTATAGGCACAGGCCTACTATGCCTACAGATTAAATGCGCTTAAAAGGTTAATGAGCTCATATTGTGAAGGAATATGGATCATATCAAGAAAATGTCCTTTTCTATGTTTTAAATTGTTTTGAATTAGTTTCATTTGCTTCCTAGCTTTGTGACTTTCCTTACTCAGCTTTTAGCTTTGCTATGCGTAACCAAGATGGATCCTGTATTCGGGAGTGCGCCGAGGACACATGAAAGGAATGCCGAGGGAGGACGCTACAGGCAGAAGATATCTTTGACTAACCAATTAGCGAGAGACACAAGACTTTAACTAACAGCCCCTCTAGTTTGCCCAATAGTACAAGACATTTAGAGATAACAGAGGTGGGCATATGTGTGACGAGCACTCTCCTGTTATCTGTGTATAAAGGAGAGAGACCGCCCTGAATAAAGTAGATGCGTCATAAACCTTAATCCTGTGTTTGTGATTTCTCCGGTGCACCGAAAACGACATAATTAGAAACAGCAGCAGACATCTTGTGTGAACCCAGTTGTGGTTCAGATCCATTTCAGCTGGCGCCCAAAATCGTGGGGCCCTGGGTTCCGATCCAAGAGCAGCCGTGACATGCGGGCAGTTGGCTGAGGGCCAGACAGACCAAGGGGGCTTGCGCAACCCTGAGAGTACGGTAGGCATATTTCAATATCTTACCACTGTACTAGTTGTTTCTGTCTGATCCACTGTCACGTCCACTTGGCTGTTCGAGGGCAGCAAAAGTCAGGTAAACTTTTCCTTGCCCAGGGCTGTTTTGCTAAGAACCTGCATAAGAGATTTCTGCTGGCTGTGTGTGTTATTTGTTTGTGTGTTTTGCGGCTCTGGGCCGAGGCTGAGCCGAGCTAAATGAATTAGCTACAGGGGGTCGTCCTCATCTCGGTGAGCTGTATGCCCTGAGAAAGAAGGAACCCTGTAGTGGGCGTCTAAGGACGGAAATCCGGGGTGACGTATCGGTCCCCCCGAGGCGAGCTTAGTCGGTCAGCCAGTGGTTCAGTTCCGCGCTGTTACGCCCCAAATAAAAGGAACCCTGTAGTGGGCGTCTGCGGACCGAAATCCGGGGTGACGTATCGGTCCCCCCGAGGCGAACTTAGCCGGTCAGCCAGTGGCTCAGTTCCACGGTGTAATGTCATGTCCTAAATGTGTTTGTGGGTTAATGTTCACTGTGGATGAAACGAATTGGGGATTAGTGAAAGTAGTAGAAGGGGGGTACCCCTCCCCCCCACGTAAACTTGGCCATCAGCCTGTTGTCCCAGCGATTCCCGACATCTTGGTGCTAAGGGTTAATGTCCACTACGCAGTGAGAGGGAGGGGGCTGAAGCAGAGAGAAATTACAGAAGTTAGCAAAAGAATGTAACTTGAAACATGATATTGTCCGTCTCCAGCCAGAGTTCTGGCGTACCTTGATAAGGGAACATCGAGGGAAGTTAAATGATAAGGGTTTGATGAAAATAGCTGAAGCCTGGTTTCGTACAGCCAAGGCTCTCCACAAAGTAAACGAGATGATGAAATGATGTATGTGTATCACAGAAGCTGATGATGTGTTTGAGCCACCGCCCTATAATGGCGGCGACTGGACAGACAACTATTCCAAACCGCACCCTTCGTCTAACGCCCCATCATCCGTGGCTCCTCCCTCCCAGGTCATTATGACGACTACCGGCCCTGGTGGCTTTACCACCCCCACCCCTATGACACCCTCCAGTGGTGGCCATCTTGGTATACCCAGCCAACACCCCGGAAGTCCCGCCCCTACTACATCCGGTGGTGGCCATCTTGGTATACCTTTCATGTCACTTCCTGCACAGCCAAGTGTACTTCCGCCTCCTTCTGGTGGCAGCCATCTTGGTGTCCCAGGTCAGGCAGCATCCGGAAGGCATATTAACCCCATGTACCCAGTCCTCCCGGTGCTGAATGCCAATGGCTCCTACCACACTCCCGTGTTCCCTAATGTACTAATGGGAGATGCATCAACGCTGCCACCTGCCC